GCCAGGACAAGAAGACAGTAACCCTCAAAGAAGCTGGGGAACCAGGTACGGTGTCTTCTTGCTTTATTTTGTCAAGTTCCTCATGTTTATATTTGTTTGAACAAGCAGCAGACATTGACATAAATATGTTTTTTCTTGGGGGGGGGATGGGTTTTTAAAGTTATTTTAATTTTATTTTTAAAAAATTATTAATCAAAATACAGTACTGAAATAGCAGATTGTTTGCTTCTTTTTAGGCAGTTGGTAGTATCATAATGTGTTGTACTGTTATTAATTTGCAAATTTTTGTCCAGTAGTATTTTTTAAAATCTTGTTACATTTATAGAAGATAGAAGATATTCCTGTTTTTTTTAAATTGAGATTTCAAATAAAAATAACAATGAGAATATGTTTATGTCACTTTTCTGCTGCTACATACTATTGTCATGTCATATCATTCCCCAAATATCAAAGATAACATGGTGTGGTCTCTCTCAGAGAAGCTTAGTAGAATAGTTGCAAATATAAAGTTAATCCAGTGCTACCAGGGATGGTATGTAATTATATGCCATTCCCATTGTGAGCTTAGTTTAATCTTTGTCTTTACTCACCAATGGCTCACTTTGTCTTTACACACAAATGGCTCACATGTGCTTAGTCACGAACGACTCAGTTTCTCAGTTACCTTTCCCATAATTTTAGAAATATTCTCTTTTATCTCATATTCCATTAGTAATGTTAATAACATTGTAAGAATTATAATGTCAATGATAATGTTACCCTCATTGATTTTAATAGCATTAGAATAAAAAAAGTCCCATAAAATCAAGGAAAGGTGAAATATGGTATTAATTAGCCCATCACCACCTGGTGAACAGAAATCCCTGAGCGTGATAAACACTGGTGATTTCTGGCAGGAGTCTGTGACATCAAGCCGAATGTCCCGCTCCATGCGTTCTGGTGCGTTGCCGTGCGCACAGGCGTATGCCGCAGACCAAGTGGTTATTTATGACGTCTGGGTCGGGTTAACTCCTTGGTAGCTGAATACTTATGGAGTCATCAGTGCGTATAACTATTTCACAAAACAAAATTACTGTGAAAATACATGGCCCTGGTGGCATTGGATTAATCTGTTTTTGCTCTTTATTCTTCTTGATTTGTCCTGCTTTGTAGCTTCAAGTTGCAGTAAGATATTTGGATTTCTTACAGGGTCTTTTGAAATAGACAGTTGATAGCTATTAAGAAAAGATAGAAGGGTTGATTTTTTTCTGTACATTCAAAAAAAAAAAAAAAAAAATGCAAATATACATTTGCCAGGTACGTTTAAACAGGTCATGCTGAACTCAAATTTCCACTTGGCATCTTGTAAATGAGTGAGAACATTGAAATTGCCATGATATGTATAATAATCATGAGATGCCAAGGGAATAATAGTCATAATTTCATGATTGTTATAAAATGGTCAGATTACTTTTGTTTCCTTTCTCCAGTTTTTAGCCTCTTGTGTCTTGTCAATTATCTCATTTCTTTTCTTTTTTTGTCCATTCTGGTTCTCTTCTTTTCTCCCATCTTTTTGCCTTGTCTGTTGTCAACCTCCTTGGATTTCAACTGGTTCTCAGGTTGGAGATAAATCTGTGCAGTTAACCTTGATGATGATAACATCTTGTCATTTCATGTGTCTGATTCACAGCTATGATAAAATTGAAGTTGGCTATTGTTCCATCTTGAGATGGTACTGTGAAGTGAATTAGTCCATTCATTGTGTTCATATCTTTATTACACTTTTGAGACAAGAAATGTATAATGCCTGTGGGTAGGTTCAACTTGGACAGTGGGTTATAGGAATACTAAGTACTTAATCATTATATCTTTTTATAATATAGATTAAAGTTTTTAGTTCTGTAGAACTGTATGTGGATTAATTGTCTTATATGTATGAATCAGTGACATGAATTCAATTGGGAAATTTTTCATGTCTCAGGATTCAGATGATAAATAAAATGTGTTAATAATTTTAGTACTGTTTTCAAAGAATGAGGCACTTTGCATGAGGATGAAGTCTCAGGGAAACAGCTCTTTTCAAATGTACTTTTGTTTGTTTGTGATGCCCTGAAACTCATGAGAGAGATTAGATATTGTTTATATTGGGCCTATATGGTGGGCTGGTAGAAATTAAGTTGTAGAAACATTGAGAGATGTTGCAAGGTGATTAGATTTTAAAATATTATCCTTTTGGTTTCTTTGATAAATTTGTTAGTTTCAGTACTCCAGGAGAAGACTAAAATATGATCACCATATATTACGCTGATAAACCAGCCCTATTTTCAAGGCTTGGTTGGTTATTTCTGTCATAGCTGCTCATCTTTTGTGCATAAAATGATTTCATCTTTCAAGATCTGAATACTTTAAATATGATATTGATGATATATCCCTAATAGGAGATTTTTGGGGATAGGTTATTGCTAATGTATTAAACTTCGATTTGTGAATTACAGGAATGGCAGCGAACCATTCTGCATGTTGTATGTCAGTAAAGCATGGTGTCATAGATTCAGCACTTCTAAGAGAAACACTTCAAGAGAAAATAACCATTCTACTTTTATTTAATTTTTATTTCTTTAAAACTCCATAATCTCAGTCTTGAAATTCATCCTTTCCTTTATTAACATGCCATTTTCCTCTTCATTCCACACTGTTTCTCTGAGGATATAATCACTGACCATATGCATTGATAACAGGGGCTTGTATATCTCAAAAAATCTGTTTAGTGTTCTTGATGTGTGTGTCCCCCCTCCCTTTTTTAAGGCAGTAAGTGAATTGATTTATGTGCATATTTAATACTAAAAAACAATCAGTGACTTCATGAGAATGCCCATAACAGTTTGCACTTACTTTTATATGCCTCGACTACAAAGTCATTATTTGCAGTGGCTCCAGAGGAAGTTGCTTGTCTAGCATCTCAAAAGAACAAAACAGAAATCAGAGATTTCTTAAAAGATCTTTATGGGCCAGTAACCTCTCTAGGCTGGTAGCTTAAGGTGGTAGGCCACTCATGGCTGGTTTGTCTAACAGTATTGACAGATTCACACTAAGAGAAACTCTGATACCTAAGAGGTTTTCATTAGATTCAGAGGGATAAGCTGATATAAGCTATTCAATGTGTTACAGATATCAGGGATATTATATTTATTTTTGTTCTCTGATCACAAGGTCTTGCCCGTTTCCTTCTTAATCTTCTGGATCCTCTCCTTCTTTTTATCCCCTTCTTCTGACTTTCCTTCATTTCCCCCTTGTTTCCTCATTCTCCACTGCCTCTTCCTGTTTTCTACTGCCCTGCCCTGCCCTGCCCTGCCCTGCCCTGCCCTGCCCTGCCCTGCCTGACCCTGCCCTGCCTGACCCTGCCCTGCCCGCCCTGCCCTGCCCTGCCCTGCCCCTGCCCTGCCCTGCCCTGCCCATGCCCTGCCCTGCCCTGCCCCTGCCCTGCCCTGCCCTGCCCTGCCCTGCCCTGCCCTGCCCTGCCCTGCCTCCTTGCCCTGCCTGCCCTGCCCTGCCGCCTGCCCTGCCCTGCCCTGCCATGCCCTGCCCTGCCCTGCCTGCCCTGCCTGCCTGCCCTGCCTGCCTGCCCTGCCCTGCCTGCCCTGCCCTGCCATGCCCTGCCCTGCCCTGCCCTGCCTGCCTGCCCTGCCTGCCCTGCCTGCCCTGCCTGCCCTGCCCTGCCATGCCCTGCCCTGCCCTGCCCTGCCATGCCCTGCCCTGCCCTGCCTGCCTGCCCTGCCCTGCCCTGCCATGCCCTGCCCTGCCCTGCCATGCCCTGCCCTGCCCTGGCCCTGCCCTGCCCTGCCATGCCCTGCCCTGCCCTGCCATGCCCTGCCCTGCCCTGCCTGCCTGCCCTGCCCTGCCATGCCCTGCCCTGCCCGCCCTGCCCTGCCCTGCCATGCCCTGCCCTGCCCTGCCATGCCCTGCCCTGCCCTGCCTGCCTGCCCTGCCTGCCCTGCCTGCCTGCCCTGCCCTGCCATGCCCTGCCCTGCCCTGGCCCTGCCCTGCCCTGCCATGCCCTGCCCTGCCCTGCCATGCCCTGCCCTGCCCTGCCATGCCCTGCCCTGCCCGCCCTGCCCTGCCCTGCCATGCCCTGCCCTGCCCTGCCCTGCCATGCCCTGCCCTGCCCTGCCATGCCCTGCCCTGCCCGCCCTGCCCTGCCCTGCCATGCCCTGCCCTGCCCTGCCTGCCTGCCCTGCCCTGCCCTGCCATGCCCTGCCCTGCCCTGCCATGCCCTGCCCTGCCCTGCCATGCCCTGCCCTGCCCTGCCCTGCCCTGCCTGCCCTGCCCTGCCATGCCCTGCCCTGCCCTGCCATGCCCTGCCCTGCCCTGCCATGCCCTGCCCTGCCCGCCCTGCCCTGCCCTGCCTGCCCTGCCCTGCCATGCCCTGCCCTGCCCTGCCATGCCCTGCCCTGCCCTGCCTGCCCTGCCTGCCCTGCCTGCCTGCCCTGCCCTGCCATGCCCTGCCCTGCCCTGCCTGCCTGCCCTGCCTGCCTGCCCTGCCTGCCCTGCCCTGCCATGCCCTGCCCTGCCCTGGCCCTGCCCTGCCCTGGCCCTGCCCTGCCCTGCCATGCCCTGCCCTGCCCTGCCATGCCCTGCCCTGCCCTGCCATGCCCTGCCCTGCCCTGGCCCTGCCCTGCCCTGGCCCTGCCCTGCCCTGCCCTGCCCTGCCATGCCCTGCCCTGCCCGCCCTGCCCTGCCCTGCCATGCCCTGCCCTGCCCTGCCTGCCCTGCCCTGCCATGCCCTGCCCTGCCCTCCTCTCTCTCCTCTCTCTCTCCTCTCTCTCTCTCTCTCCTCTCTCTCTCTCTCTCCTCTCCTCTCCTCTCCTTTCTCGTTCCCTCTTTTTCCATTTCCCTTTTTTTCCCCCTTTCCCTTTTTTCCCCCTTTCCCTTGTTTGTTTGTTTTTCCATGTGTCTTTTCCTTTCCCATTCCCGTTTCCCCCTTTCTCTCCCCTTAACCCATTGCCGACGGTCATGCCATATCCCCTGTGAGTTTACTTATTTGATTGTTTTTACACATAGATGGCTACACTTGTACTAAGCCACCACTGAGCCAATTACGAGTACTGCCTGTCTCGCCCGTTCACCCATTTCTTTATTTTTTAAAAATATATTACATTATCTTATATTGCTATTACTATTGTTTATAACATTATAGTAATTATAATAAAAATAAAAATAACATCATTGATATTTATAGCAATAGTAAAAAATATATTTTCCTGCCAATTCAAGGAAAGGTGAAATCAGGTAAGGCAGAACCATCTCTGTGTAGAGACATTTCACAAAAAAATATAAAAGATGAGCACAGCATTTTCCCCATTTTTTATTTGTTTTCCCCAGCGGCAGTGGGTTAATATATTTATCGAAAAGTTGAGTATATACAAGAGATTTTGCATGCTACTATTTTTATAATAATTGGGATTCCAGTTATTAGTGAAAATATCTAGTTTCTGTTTTTCTATTAGAGGAAGATATACAGCCTTTTTTCAACTTTTTTTTTAAACTGCAGTATGAATAAGATAATATGAGTTAATTTGAAGAGTGTCTCCTTTTATCTTGATCTTGGCTCTGAATACTGCATGTACAAACAATATATTTTTCATTTTGCATTTGATATGACATCCCTTAGGGTGTGGTGTGTCCTATGTATACAGAATTCTTCCCTTTAGATAATTATGTTAGCAGCACCTTGTAGAGTTTGAAAGATGTAGGTATTGCTCAAATGGCTAAATTACACAATAATTAAAGAGACAACTTTGTTTTAAAGCAGAATATTATTGTAGTCTAAGTATAGTCATTGGATCTAAAGTGCAAAAGCGATTAAATCTTTCATGAGAAAGAAAATATTTCCCATGAGATCAAGCCACACATAATATGCATTATTATGATAATTAATACTGTGATGCCTTGTATGTAAAAAAAATTGTAACTATGAGAAGAGTATATGAAGATTGGCCAACATTGACTGTGATGAGATTTGTATATTCTTGTGGATACTGTTTGGTGATAAGGTAATTAATTTTCACTTCAGGTTCAAGGTTAATGTTGTACTTAATGATCTAATAATTAATATTTTTTTCTGCTTCTGTAGAAAAACAAATTAATCCATATATGCTCAGAATATTGAATGTAATTAAATGGTTGGACCTTGGCAAATTTCATTCTTTTTTCTTCTTGAATGTAGCTGAAGAGATGTGTTTTAGATTAATTTTTGATTTGTAGTTTGAATTGTAAATGGAATAGTGTACCTAAGAATTCATGAACTTCTTGATGTGATGATGTGATCATGCTGATGTACCTTTCCTGTTTTATGTATTCATATATAATCTATAGCTAATAATTTTGTTATATTTTGTTTTGTGATCATAGAAAAACATTTATGTGACCTGATTACATATTAAATAACAAACAAACATCAAGCAGTGAATTGGATCTAAGATACCTTGTTATTTGATTTGTTAGATAGAACAAGGAGAAGTGGGTCACCATGGTGTTTCCTTTTAATACTGCATTCTGTGTCTTAGATATGTATAGAATATGTATGTAGGAATATCTGGGTAGAGTGTATTAGGTTAATCTTACTTTATTACTCAAATGTTTTAGTATAAAAAAAACTGTTGCATGTACATCAAATCAGCATGAGGTCTTACATGTAGTGAAGTGTATAGTATTTTTTATGCTTTTGATCTATTTAATTGCTAAAAGAATGTTGTAATGTAAAAAATGTAATTGTTAACGGTTCTCACTTTTGTGTTTCCCATCTTTACCATAGATAGGACAAAGCATTGCATGGCATCATATTTTGCATTTTAAATTTTGTAGATTTACACAGTGCTCACTTTGTTATTATCAGTGGACCTTTGTATTACCAGTGCTTGCACAATACCAAGAAAAATGAACTAGACAATATATTATGGCTTTAAACATTTCCACCATACCATTCAGTGCTTACTTCCTTTGGGGCCCATGTATGGCACCTACTTCAAAATATAACTGTTGATAAACAACATAAAATAGATGACTAGAATGAAAATATGTCTTGATTCTCTTTACATAGGTTTGAGTTATGAAGCAGGATATTTTTCATTCCATGTCAACAAATCAAGAAATATGCAGTCCATTGCTTTGCACTGTTCATTAACAGTAGCAACTGGCAGCAGTCCAAGCACTTCTCTGTTACATTCTCAGATATAATAGAGAACTGTCAAGTTTAATGGGCTAATCTGTCGGTATAATTTCTGAAGGGGTAGTTCTCACTTGTGTAAATTTGTGTTTATGTATATAAAGATAACAAAGTGTTTAACCTCTTGGGGAGTTAGAGGTAACATTGCAACAACCACATAGTCTAGATGGACTGAGATTATAAGAAAATATATTACCTTAAAAGTATAGTTGGTGTTTAACCCATTGCCGCCGGGGATAGCATGTATGTACATGCCATGCCCACCGTGAGTTGACTTGTTCGATTGTTTTTACACATAGATGGCTACACTTGTACTAACTATCCAATAAGTCAATTACGAGTACTGCCTGTCTCGCCCATTCACCCTTTTCATCGATTTACGAAAATATTTAACGTTTTCCTAATTTGCTGTTAAAAATAACACCATCTATATTTATAGCACTAGTAAGAATGTTTTTTCCCGCCAATTCAAGGACAGGTGAAATCAGGACTAGAAGAGCCATCTATGGACAGAGATATTTCACAAAAATATAAAAAATGAGTACTGCATTCTCCCCATTTTTTGTTCATTTTCCCCAGTGCCGGGTATCAGAAATTTCTAGGCATCATAACCTCTGGTGATTTCTGGCAACATGCAGATGCTGGACACGGAACTTCCTGCTCCACATGCTCTAGCACGTTGCTGCGTGTATAGCCACACCGCACAGTTTGTTATGATGGCTGTACATGTGACCCATCTGTAAGGGGTTAAGACTGAAAATTAATGTACTTATTATTTATTTATGGTTGGATAGGTTTAGATGTATTGTGTGTATTATTGATATCTGGAAGCTCCCCTTTTCAGCAGGGCTAATAACCATCAGGTCTGGTAATAAAAAAAGGAAAATTCCTTTTTTTTTTTCTTTTTTCATTTGTTACTCTCTGTATCTGTACCATAAATAAAGATCAGTGTAAGTGTGAGTGCATGTGTGCATGTGTCCATGTCTATATATGTCAACATGTATGTTTGTTTGTACTTGTGCTTCTATTTGTGTGTATGTGTGTGGAGTTGAAGTAACTAGGTAATTAGGAACTGATTGGGCACAGCTAGGTAACATATGGGATTCACCCTCACTATTAAGTGGGTGGTATGATGCCAGATAGAGCTGGAGTATCTTGTAAACCCTTTTGGCAGTTTATATTCCACCTGGAATATCCCTACAAAAATCCAAACCATGATATGAAACAACAACTCCCTCACATGCATGCAATATAACAAGACCCATCCATGAGAGATTAAAAGCACAGGTATAAATGTATATTATTCAAAGTTGATTCAGCAAAATATTGTAAAGTGGATAGTAACACTTTGTAACATTGGTAATGATCCTTCAGTCAACATTAATTATTTTTCTCTCTGTTCCTTCTAGCTGATAAAACTCCTGCAAGAGTTGTGTATGTTCCCTCCCATCTTTATCACATGTTGTTTGAGCTCTTCAAGAATGCCATGCGTGCAGTGATTGAGCATCATGGTACTGGTGCTGATGACTTCCCACCCTTGGAAGTGCTTTTGGTTATGGGCACAGAAGACCTTGTCATTAAGGTAATACTTGTGTTCTTTTTTCTTACAGAATTCTACAAAAATGTATTTTATACTAGTTATTGCTCTCATTATTGTCAACTCTTTGTGGGTTTGTCATCATAACTGTCATTTGTTTTTATTTTTGTTTTTTATTTTTGTTATTAGTATTATCATTATTATTTCTTTGTTTTTCTTACAAGATTGCTAAATTTCACACAGATTCTTTGAGTAGCAATGATAGCATTGCGAAATATTGAACTAATGAACTCTACTAAGATAATAACAATGATGATAACAACAATACCTCCCATCCCTCACTCATTGTTGTCATGGGGGCACTTAGGAGACATAGACTGAGGCCCAGAATAGGGAATCCTCCCTACCTTGGACTTCAGCACTTGCCCCATCCCCTTATTCTGTCCGATTCTCAAGGTGTGAGAGTCTTACTGAAAGGATGAAAGACTAGTTTTGTGTCAGTCCTAAATGGCCTCTGGGAATCATGGGCACAGTATTCCCTTAATCACCTAACCCTGCCTCTCCTTTGACCACAGCTCTGACCACTAATACTGATACTACATCCTCGATGTTTACTGACAACTCTATCCATTCTGAATCATCCACCTAGGTCATTTCTCATCTTTCAAAACATGCCCCTTCCTCTCCATTTCCTACGATGCAGTCTTCTTCATTGTCTATCCCTTTCATAGTATTTTTCATCCCTATTGTCCTCCTCCCTGCAGTATTACCTCACCCCACACCACCACATCTTCCTCCCACCCTCATCCTTCTACTGCTTTCACATCTGTAAACTTTTTGAGCTCATACACTATCTACTCTGACTGACTTAAGTGGCAAACCCATTCCTGCCCATCCTCACTCCTTTCTTATCCCCTTGGATCTGGGTGACATGACCACGTCATGAAAAAATCCAGGTTGAGGGTGGTGATGTGAACATGCTGGCTGGGTGATGCGAACCTACTGTCGCAAGTGTTTCAGCTGAAAGCTGGGGTGATGGAAAAGACTCACCACAAGTGCACAAACCTACTGGGAGGTTTATTTCATCATTTGGTGATTTTGCATTATTCCCATCGTTGTACAAGTGTGGAATTTAATGTTTGAGCGGTGACTGGAAGAGTGCCAGCTCATTGTAGGATATGGATATGGATCCATGCTCAGCATTGTATTCCTGTGAGCAGTGATGCAGATTGTATTATAGAAAATTGAATATTACGTAAAATATAAAAAATTACACAACAAAGTTGCATAGTTTTGTTTTTCTTACAGTGAGTTGTAGTACCTATGGAGTCTGTACAAAAGAAAAAGTCTAAGACTATCTGGATAATACAAATCAAATGGCAGATATGGACATTGGAAAATCACCAATGAGCTAAAATGCTTATGTGTAAAAAGAGTAAATAACTTTGCAAATAGGATGCATAGAGTCCTACAACTACACATGTTCTCATGTACCTGGCCTACATGCTGCCACCTGGCAAAGCAGCAGCTCACATAAGCCTAAGGCTCAGATTTTTGGTGTCTTGATTGCTGTGACGCAACTGGATCCAGTGGGTTAATACTTGTACTGGAACTGTTTCCATCTCCCCTACTGATTATCCTGTCTACAACAAGGGCTGGTCAGACTGTAAAAGTGATCTGCTCGCCTGCCTTGACTATGATGCAGTGGTAGTTTAGTGCTACACTATTCCTCCCAGAGGCCAGCATAAGGCCTACACCAACATTAGCTTCTGTAGACATAGCCTCCCTCATAAAGCTTATATTGGTAGAGTGGCCTGCCCTGTCTGACCATATTAACCCCTTCCCCATCATTGTCAGATGTTTTTTTTGCATTTTGGTCACCCAGCCAAACACTGTCGCTCCACATTCCACTGCCCTTTATGTGCCCAACCTGGTCATGACTGTTCAGTTGCTCTGCTCAGTCACACAAGTGTACCAATTATGGTAGCTCCCATAATGTATTTTATAGGTACTGCCCTGCCTACAAGCTCGAATCTGAGGTAGGAGTTCTCAGATTCAAACCATGTCTCTCTGAAAGGCCAGACAGGAAGCATGCCGTTAAGATTTATCTCTCTACCTTTACTGAAACTTTCTTTTGCTCTGTTCCACTCCCATCTTCTCAAGATATATCAGCATACTCCTTTTGCTACCGTTTCCCTTATACCTATTCCTCCTCCTCACTTAACCTATCGCTTCAGGCAGTCTAGATGTTCCACCCCATCTTTTTCCACACTCTCTCCTACACCAACCTCCAGAAACTCGTGAAGACTTCCTAAACATGACCCAAGAAGATGCTCCACTCCCCCATTCACACTCCAATCCCTCTATTCCTATACCATCTACATTCAAAGTATTTAATGATTTTCATCCTCCTTCGGCACAAGCTCCCACTCTCTCCCAAAACACCCCATCCTTTTCTTCTCCATGTGCACCATCGTTCTCTCTTCTTTTCCCATTACACTTACCACTCCCACCTGGTTATGCACATGATTTCCTTATGTTGGAAGTTTCCTACTCTGGCTTCTTCCCCTCCTGACATTCTTCCTGATACTTCTCCACATTCTCCTGTTCCCTTATCTTATTCCACAGATTCTCCTCCTACTTCTGCAACACCCATTTCTACCTGTATTGCCCATTGATTGTTTGATAATGGCTCCTCTGCCAGTTTTCCTTCCTCAGACACCCTTAACCCTCTTTTACTAATCTGTGCCCTACTTCATGTTCTCACCCCTCTTTACTCTTTTCCAAACTATCTTACAGCGCTCTATAACCTTTGGCATCTAACACGTTTCATCCTAATTGGTAATTTATTTTTACCCTTTTTGCCAGTGCTTTACCATAGTGCTATATGACCTTTGATGTCTAGCACATTTATTTGTTTTATCCATTAACCATTAACCAATAATAATGATGATGATGATGATGATGATGATGATGATGATGATGGTTATTATTTTTATTATTGTTGTTATCATTATTGCTGATATTATTATTATTGTAATAGCAATAATGATGATTATTGATGCTATGATGATGATGATGATGATGATGATGATGATGATGATGATGATGATGATGATGATGATGATGATGATGATGATGATGATGATGATGATGATGATGATGATGATAGCATCAATAATCATCATTATTGCTATTACATTAATAATAATATCAGCAATAATGATAACAACAATAATAAAAATAATAACCATCATCATCATCATCAATCATCATCAATCATCAATCATCATCAATCATCGTCATCAATCATCGTCATCAATCATCGTCATCAATCATCGTCATCAATCATCATCATCAATCATCGTCATCAATCATCAATCATCATCATCAATCATCATCATCAATCATCATCATCAATCATCATCATCCTTATTTTTAATATTATTATTGTTGCTGTTGCTGCTGTTCTTATTGTTGTTATGATATTATTACTACTATTACTGCTGCTACTGCTATTACTATTACTATTACTACTTTTTCTACTACTATTACTATTCCTAATATGCCTACTCCAACTCCTATTCCTTATTCCTATTCCTACCACCATCACCACCATGACTATTATTATTATCATTACTAATATAATAATAATGATAATGATAATAATAATAATAATAATGATGATAATGATAATAATAGTAATGATAGTAATCATGATAACAATAAAGTTAATGATAATGATAATAATAATAGCAATGATAGTAATAGTAATAATAATAATAATAATAATAATAATAATAATAATAATAATAATTATTATTATTATTATTATTATCATTATAGTAATAACAATAATAATAATGATAATAATAGTAATAGTAGTAGTAATAATAATAATGATAATGATAACGATAACGATAACGATAACGATAACGGTGATAATGATAATGATAATGATAACAATAATGATGATATTGATGATGATAATAATAATGATGATGATAATAATGATAATAATGATGATAATAATGATGATAATAATGATGATAATAATGATGATAATAATGATAATAATAATGGTGATAATAATGATAATAATAATGATAATAATAATGATAATAATAATAATTATCATTATTATTATTATCATTATTATAATAATAATAATTATTATTATGATAATAATAATAATTATCATTATTATTATCATTATTATCATTATTATCATTATCATCATCATTATCATTATCATCATCATTATCATCATCATTATCATCATCATTATCATCATCATTATCATCATCATTATCATCATCATTATCATCATCATTATCATCATCATTATCATTATCATTATCATTATCATTATTATCATCATTATCATCATTATCATCATCATTATCATCATCATTATTATCATCATTATCATCATCATTATTATCATCATTATTATCATCATTATTATCATCATTATCATCATTATCATCATCATTATCATCATTATTATCATCATTATTATCATCATTATCATCATTATTATCATCATTATCATCATTATCATCATCATTATCATCATCATTATCATCATCATTATCATCATTATCATCATCATTATCATCATTATCATCATCATCATTATCATCATCATTATCATTATCATTATCATCATTATCATTATCATCATCATTATTATCATCATCATTATCATCATTATCATCATTATCATCATCATTATTATCATCATTATTATCATTATCATCATCATTATCATCATCATTACCATCATTATCATCATTATCATCATTATTGTCATCATCATTATTATCATTATTATCATCATCATCATCATCATCATCATCATTATCATTATCATCATCATCATCATCATTATCATCATCATTATCATCATTATCATCATCATTATCATCATTATCATCATCATTATCATCATCAGTAGTAGTAGTAATAGTAGTAGTAGTAATAGTAGTAGTAGTAGTTATTGTTATTGTTATTGTTATGTTATTGTTATTGTTATGTTATTGTTATTATTGTTATTGTTATTGTTATTGTTATGTTATTGTTATTGTTATGTTATTGTTATTGTTATGTTATTGTTATTGTTATTGTTATGTTATTGTTATTGTTACTGTCATTGCTATGCTATTGTTATTGCCATTGTTATGATATTGTTATTGTTATGTTACTGTCATTGTTATGCTATTGTTATTGTTATGTTACTGTTATTGTTATTGTCATTGTTATGTTATTGTTATTGTTATTGTTATTGTTATTGTTATGTTATTGTTATTGTTATTGTTATGTTATTGTTATTGTTATGTTATTGTTATTGTTATGTTATTGTTATTGTTATGTTATTGTTATTGTTATTGTTATGTTATTGTTATTGTTATTGTTATGTTATTGTTATTGTTATGATATTGTTATTGTTATGTTACTGTCATTGTTATGTTATTGTTATTGTTATTGTTATTGTTATTGTTATTGTCATTGTTATGTTATTGTTATTGCTATTGTTATGTTATTGTTATTGTTATGTTATTGTTATTATTGTTATTGTTATGTTATTGTTATTGTTATTGTTATTGTTATGTTATTGTTATTGTTATTGTTATTGTTATTGTTATTGTTATTGTTATGTTATTGTTATTGTTATTGTTATGTTATTGTTATTGTTATTGTTATTGTTATTGTTATTGTTATTGTTATTGTTATTGTTATTGTTATTGTTATGTTATTGTTATTGTTATTGTTATGTTATTGTTATTGTTATTGTTATTGTTATGTTATTGTTATTGTTATTGTTATTGTTATTGTTATTGTTATGTTATTGTTATTGTTATTGTTATGTTATTGTCATTGTTATGCTATTGTCATTGTAATGTTATTGTTATTGTTATGTTATTGTCATTGTTAAGCTATTGTTATTGTCATTGTTATAATATTGTTATTGTTATGTTACTGTCATTGCTATGCTATTGTTATTGCCATTGTTATGATATTGTTATTGTTATGTTACTGTCATTGTTATGCTATTGTTATTGTTATGTTATTGTTATTGTTATGTTATTGTCATTGTTATGTTATTGTTATGTTATTGTCATTGTTATGCTATTGTCATTGTAATGTTATTGTTATTGTTATGTTATTGTCATTGTTATTGTTATGTTATTGTTATTGTTATTGTTATTGTTATGTTATTGTTATTGTTATTGTTATGTTATTGTTATTGTTATTGTTATGTTATTGTTATTGTTATTGTTATTGTTATTGTTATTGTTATTGTTATTGTTATTGTTATTGTTATTGTTATTGTTATTGTTATTGTTATTGTTATTGTTATTGTTATTATTATTATTATTATTATTATTATTATTATTATTATTATTATTATTATTATTATTATTATTATTATTATTATTATTATTATTGCAAAACGCACTGTTACTTCCAGTTGTCAGACCAGGGTGGTGGCATTCCTCGCAGTGTTATGGATCTCCTCTTCAATTACATGTATTCTACGGCCCCTCAGCCAGCCGTGTCTGGGTTAGACACACCTCCCCTTGCTGGCTATGGCTATGGTCTTCCTCTCTCAAGATTATATGCCCGGTATTTCCACGGGGACCTCATGCTTACTTCTTTTGAAGGTTTTGGTACAGATGCTGTTATCTACCTCAAGGTATGCAATATGTGTTATTTTCTGGTCCCTCATGACCTGGTGTGAAGGTTGTAGTGATCAGGTATGATCCCAGTTTAAAATATCAGTTGAGCTAACTTCCTGCAACTAGCATGCCCTAGCACCAAGCAAGACAGAAATAAGAGAAATTCACTCTGGCAACCCCTATACTGCACATCACTCCACCCCTTGTATAAAGGAAATGTTTTTCTCTCATCTGCTTCATAGCATGAATTTTCTGCTGTTCAGTCTGTGTAGTGGTTGCTGTGCTGTGTCCTTCCTTGTCTGCTCTGGGAGTCATGGGATTATTCCCTCTTTTGCTATCTCTTTTGTTATTATTTCCCAGTTTAACTCAAGCTTAAAATCAGTCAGATTCAAATGACTTAATTAAATCAAGATTTATATAAAATGATTAAAGAAAAGTTATTGAGTGAAAATGAATTGGCTTTTTCAAAGTATAACAAGGAAAATTAAATTAAACAAAGAATACGATTTCTACTGGTTATCTAATTCTTTGAGCAAAACACAAAACATTTAACCCCTACAATCCGGATGACATGACCATGTCATGAAAAAATTTGGTTTGAGGAGCAGGTAACGTACTTGCCATCATGAGTATTTTGATTGTGAATGTTAGGTGATGGGAATGACTTGCCATGAGTGCACAAAGCTTTTAGAGGGTGCCTAGACTCATGTGGCACTTTTGTATTATTTGCATTGGTAAACAAGTGTGGAATGTACCATCCATGAGCCATGACTGGAAGAACGCATTATCCTTTTCCTGTCCACTGTGACTGGAGGTGCAGGTTCTATTGCAGAAAACAAACTTATTGTTATCATTACTGCACTGAGTAACGATATGGAATCTGTGCAAGGAAAACAGTCTGTTGCCATTTGGATAAAGCAAATCAAAAGACAAAATATAGACAATGGAAAATGGCAAAAAAACTAAAAATGCTAATGCAGAAAAGTGCAGGCATGGAGTCTTGTCATGCCTGTATTTTATACCATGTTTGGGAATCAAAACACCCAGATTCAATACTTAATGTTTTTCACTGATGTTATGATTATTATGTTCTCAAAGTAATGTATTTAATATAAGGGTATATTCATGTGTAAAAGGGATTTTTTTTCTTTCAATATACCATTTGAATTTTTAAAAGTTATTTTTAATAATCATTTCAATTAAAAGATCAACAGCACTTCTTTCCCAGTCTGCCCACCCACTCTCCATTCCTCACTTGGCTCATTGGGAGGGGGAGGGAGGATTGGATGAGTGTGTGTGTGTTTGTCTTGCATGTGCTGTTTGTGTTTTGTTAGCTCTTCCTATCCAGGTGGAGCCTGTCTCTTTGTTACTGTTGTGGTTCCTGCCTGGTTGAGTCTAGTTGTTGTTTACTGGGATGTTATCTCTATTCTAGTCTGGCAACTAGGAATGCTCTTGCTCCATAACCTCTCTCTTGTTTCTAGAGTGAGTGGTGTATTTTGCCTCCTTACAGAGTCCTTTTCCTGTCTCTTGTGCATACTGCTTGTGGCCTAACCTTATCAGAGTTGGGGGCTGACTGATACACTACATCCTTGCTCTCACAGCTGCTCCTGCCTTCGCTTAATCCACAACAGCAGAGCTGATGGTGGAGAATGGTTGCCAAGTGAATTTTCCCCCTTACTCTTCTCTGGTTTTGGATGTAATGTTTAGTTGCTGTGATTAATTGCAATGGACCCTCTCACTGATAATTGAACCCCACAGTTTCCCTTGGATGCCTAATGCCCTCCCTAGCTATCATGTCTAGTATTGTTGCTGCTGTTAATTAGACTGACTGAAACCATTGTGAATGCACACTAAACATCCCAAGAAATCCAATGATAGATTTTCAGATGTGGATCTATATTTGATAACTGATATCATTCATTTGAAAACTGTTTGAATTCTAATATTAAAAATGAATGTGTAGAATGCTAATATTCTTTTTCTTCAATTGCTGCAAATCACATTTTTCAGTTTCAGATACCCAAAAAGAAGGGAGATTGTTTCCCTTTCAAAAAATGTATTTTTTGCCTCTGATTTGGTGTCAAGTTGCCGTTGCAACTGCAGTAAAAACATAATCAGTACTTCCCCACTGAGTGAGAGTCATAGTTGTTAAATTAAACAATGACCCACAAGAACGAAAAACAGAACAATCCCCAACCATCAATTGTCGGACACATCAAAGATTGATAATATCTACAGTTATCATACGTCAATATGTTCTATCTCTTGGCAGATTTTGTGTTGTTAAGAAGTGAAGTGAAGTGAAGTGTTAGTGAATCCACAACAGCAGAGCTGATGGTGGAGAATGGTTGCCAAGTGAATTTTCCCCCTTACTCTTCTCTGGTTTTGGATGTAATGTTTAGTTGCTGTGATTAATTGCAATGGACCCTCTCACTGATAATTGAACCCCACAGTTTCCCTTGGATGCCTAATGCCCTCCCTAGCTATCATGTCTAGTATTGTTGCTGCTGTTAATTAGACTGACTGAAACCATTGTGAATGCACACTAAACATCCCAAGAAATCCAATGATAGATTTTCAGATGTGGATCTATATTTGATAACTGATATCATTCATTTGAAAACTGTTTGAATTCTAATATTAAAAATGAATGTGTAGAATGCTAATATTCTTTTTCTTCAATTGCTGCAAATCACATTTTTCAGTTTCAGATACCCAAAAAGAAGGGAGATTGTTTCCCTTTCAAAAAATGTATTTTTTGCCTCTGATTTGGTGTCAAGTTGCCGTTGCAACTGCAGTAAAAACATAATCAGTACTTCCCCACTGAGTGAGAGTCATAGTTGTTAAATTAAACAATGACCCACAAGAACGAAAAACAGAACAATCCCCAACCATCAATTGTCGGACACATCAAAGATTGATAATATCTACAGTTATCATACGTCAATATGTTCTATCTCTTGGCAGATTTTGTGTTGTTAAGAAGTGAAGTGAAGTGAAGTGTTGTGTAAAGTGTGTGTTTTTGCAAAGATATAAATGGCGAAACCATTTTTATTTTTATTCTATAGACGTTTATTGTGCATTGAATACCTCATGCACTCTGTCCTCGGCTTCATACAGTTAGACAGCACGTGCAGTAGTGAAACTGGCATGCTGTACGATACCATTTTCTTCCAAAGCTGAATGGTTCATGGGGTGCCCTTACAGGCCCATGATCATTACTGTGCTTCATATGATTCATCAGCACATGCATTGTAGTAAAACTGGCATGCTGTACGATACTTCTAAAGCCAAATGGTTTGAGGCATGCCCATGACCATTTTCGGGCCCTGAGAGACATGGTTTTTCCTTTTATACTAATTTAACCCCTTGATGACGGGTGAAGAAAAAAAAACAAACTATATGCTCTGGCGATTAATGGTAACGAGCTGACTTTGAGTGCGGGAGTTTGGTACATCAAGCCGAATCACTGGCTCGTAGCGCTTTGGTGCGCCGCCGCAGAGTACAGCCACACGCCAAAGATCGAGCGGTTTGTTTTAACGCCTCACGGCATGACCTGTTGGGAAGGGGTTAAGGAGCCATCTCTTCAAAAGAAAGACTTCACCCATATAAGGAGGGATTTTTTTGTGTGTGCGTGTGCGTGTGTGTGTGGTGCCAGTGCTGAAGGAACATAGCAAAAACTACTATGAAGCAGTAGAATTGCCAAGTGGTCTCGAAAGATACACGTGCACTGCTTAATAAAAATGCTCAGAAAATCTTCAGTCCACACTCCACGTCCACATAGCTCTGTTTTTGTAAGCTATCTGTTTATTCTTTGGACTCTGGTTTTTGTTTATTGTAATTCAAGCTTTACGATAGTTGTTCTGGCTGCTTTGATCCTCGACAATGTTCAACTTCCCAAAAATGGTTGCAGATAGTACAAACACAACCTCTAGATGATCCACCATCAAAAGAATAGAAGCCAATCAAGAAACAATATTTAAGAGCAGCTAAGAAGATACGAGAGTCTGGATCTGTTCTTCCTTGGGCATCTTCAGAACTTCATAAGCTTTTCAAGGCTTCAGCCTCATGTGGCCAAAAAGGTGTTATGCTTTCCTTGGAATCTTCTGTTTCTGCTTCACCAGTTCCAGTTCAGTCCCAAGCTTCTTGTAAATTGCCTACAAAGGCTCATCATGGAAAGCGGTCATCTCGGGACAAGAAGCAAACAAGATTAACCCAGTGCCGCTGGGTTAATTAATGAATAAAAAATGGAGAAGATGCTGTGCTCATTTTCTGTATTTTTTGTGAAATGTCTGTTAGTGCTTAGCGACAAAGGAGTCAATTAGTAGACCTTGTGACCGTATCTGATTTGAATTGGCGGGAAAAATATATTTTTTACTAGTGCTATGAATATTGATGTTGTTATTTTTATTATAAACATTATAATTACAATAATGTTATAAACATCAGCAACAGCAAAATAAGATATGAAATATTTTCGTAAATCAATGAAAAGGGGAAACGGGGGTGACAGGCATTACTCCTAATTGGCTCATTGGTGACTTAGTACAAGTGTAGCCATCTATGTTTAAAAACAATCAAAAAAGTAACTCACAGTGGGCATAGCACGTACGTACACATCATGCCTGTTGGCATTGGGTTAATTGAGTTACTAGGTGAAATGATTGAAATTTCACCTAAATTGCATGAAAGTCCAAAGCATTCATCTTGTCATTCTTTTCCAAAATCATTACAAAGATCGTTGTCATTTGCAGGAAGTCCCTTGTTATCAACAAGTGAAAGTCTTTGACCATTCATCCCTGCATTTACTTGCCTCCTCATAAAAGAATTCTATCTTCTCAATCACAACCACAGAGGCAGGATGATAGAGGTCAAAATCTTGAATCTAAATATAGCTCATCTATTCAAACATCTGTTAACAACAAGAACAATCTGACCTCTCCTTTGGAAAAAACGTGATACAATACTAGAAATTAGCCATGCTGCAGAAGAGCCCTTTGACATCCAAGCTCCTTAGATACCACCTTTAATACTTGTGGAAGATTTATGGAATTGGTGGCTTGTCTGCACTAACACAAATGTGCTGCTAAACCTAGTTCATCCGCAGGACTTGTGCCATCTTTATGTGCTCTGCAGTGGCCCATGGATTCTGAACAAATGATACTTTCTCATTTTCTTACACAAGAAAGATTTTCTCCTCGACTAAGAATACCAAACAATAGATTCTTGTTGGCGGATTATACAGCCTGCTTCATGACTCGACAGTCTTGGAATACTTCATCGATAATGGCAATACTTGCTTAACTCTACGCTCTGACGATCAATGGCAACGTGCCGACTTTGAGCATGGGAGTTTGGTACATTAAGCCGAATCACCAGCTCGTCTTTCTGTGGCGCACCGCTGCGGTGTACAGCCACGCGCCACAGATCAAATGGTTTGTTTTCATGCCTCACGGTGTGACTCGTTAGGAATGGGTTAAGAAGACAGCAGAAGTAAAGTTCAAGCTTGCAACCTTTAAGTATTCCACTTATAAAGTCACATCTAGAAGTGGTGGTAAAAAGATTAGAACTGCGTGACAGCATGATTCCTAAGAATCTGATCAAAATTAATCAGATCTCTGAGATACCACAACCTATGGAAATTAAGATTCCAAACAACTTTTTCCAATAATCGCACCATGCACCACCAACTTCTAAAGTTAAGTTAATCGAATACTGCTGGGAAAATGCTGTGTTCATTTTTTATTTTTTTGTGAAATGTCTCTGTACATTATGTCTCTGTTAGTGCTTAGCGACAAAGGAGTCAATTAGTAGACCTTGTGACCTTACTTGTGACTCAACTCTCCTTGAATTGGCGGGAAAAACATATTTTTTACTAGTGCTATGAATATTGATGTTGTTATTTTTATTATAAACATTATAATTACAATAATGTTATAAACATCAGCAACAGCAAAATAAGATATGAAATATTTTCGTAAATCAATGAAAAGGGGAAACGGGGTGACAGGCATTACTCCTAATTGGCTCATTGGTGACTTAGTACAAGTGTAGCCATCTATGTTTAAAAACAATCAAAAAAGTAACTCACAGTGGGCATAGCACGTACGTACACATCATGCCTGTTGGCATTGGGTTAATTGAGTTACTGGGTGAAATGATTGAAATTTCACCTAAATTGCATGAAAGTCCAAAGCATTCATCTTGTCATTCTTTTCCAAAATCATTACAAAGATCGTTGTCATTTGCAGGAAGTCCCTTGTTATCAACAAGTGAAAGTCTTTGACCATTCATCCCTGCATTTACTTGCCTCCTCATAAAAGAATTCTATCTTCTCAATCACAACCACAGAGGCAGGATGATAGAGGTCAAAATCTTGAATCTAAATATAGCTCATCTATTCAAACATCTGTTAACAACAAGAACAATCTGACCTCTCCTTTGGAAAAAACGTGATACAATACTAGAAATTAGCCATGCTGCAGAAGAGCCCTTTGACATCCAAGCTCCTTAGATACCACCTTTAATACTTGTGGAAGATTTATGGAATTGGTGGCTTGTCTGCACTAACACAAATGTGCTGCTAAACCTAGTTCATCCGCAGGACTTGTGCCATCTTTATGTGCTCTGCAGTGGCCCATGGATTCTGAACAAATGATACTTTCTCATTTTCTTACACAAGAAAGATTTTCTCCTCGACTAAGAATACCAAACAATAGATTCTTGTTGGCGGATTATACAGCCTGCTTCATGACTCGACAGTCTTGGAATACTTCATCGATAATGGCAATACTTGCTTAACTCTACGCTCTGACGATCAATGGCAACGTGCCGACTTTGAGCATGGGAGTTTGGTACATTAAGCCGAATCACCAGCTCGTCTTTCTGTGGCGCACCGCTGCGGTGTACAGCCACGCGCCACAGATCAAATGGTTTGTTTTCATGCCTCACGGTGTGACTCGTTAGGAATGGGTTAAGAAGACAGCAGAAGTAAAGTTCAAGCTTGCAACCTTTAAGTATTCCACTTATAAAGTCACATCTAGAAGTGGTGGTAAAAAGATTAGAACTGCGTGACAGCATGATTCCTAAGAATCTGATCAAAATTAATCAGATCTCTGAGATACCACAACCTATGGAAATTAAGATTCCAAACAACTTTTTCCAATAATCGCACCATGCACCACCAACTTCTAAAGTTAAGTTAATCGAATACTGCTGGGAAAATGCTGTGTTCATTTTTTATTTTTTTGTGAAATGTCTCTGTACATTATGTCTCTGTTAGTGCTTAGCCACAAAGGAGTCAGTTAGTAGACCTTGTGACCTTACTTGTGACTCAACTCTCCTTGAATTGGCGGGAAAAAATGTAGATAGTCTTATTTTTATTGTAGACAATATAATTATTATAATGTTGTAAACATTAGTAACAGCAAAATAAGATAACGTAAAATAAAAGGTTAAACAGGTGAGACAGGCAGTACTCGTAATAAGCTTATTAGTGACTTAACCCAATGGCGCCAGGTGTACAAAACAAAAAAAAAAACTCTACGCTTAAACAAACAAAGGTGGCGCGCCGACTTTGAGCGCGTGAGTAGGGGACATCAGCCCGAATCACTGGCTCGCCGCGCTTTGGCGTGCCACCGGCTCGTTTGGCTGCACGCCAGCTTTCGAGCTCTTTGTTTACACGCCGATCGGCGTCACCCGGCACCAAGGGTTAATACAATTGTAGCCATCTATATGTAAAAACAATAAAGTAAACTTACATGCATGCCATGCCCAGCAGCATTAGGTTAAGAAGGTCTAATTCTTCTAAGCGCTCCTTGACTTCACGGGAATGTCATCAATCCAGTTATAACAGGATCTTCCCATAATTTTATAGATCACTCTGAAAGTCTAAGAGGTACAGCTTCTAAATCAACAGCTTCGCATTTTCAAAATGATACAATACGTGGAAATGAGAAGATATCTTTCAGTAATTGCGGAGCCAATTCCCAGTTTTGATCTGAGGTCAGTGAACCAGTGCATTGTGTGTGTAAGAACTAGGAGTTTGGAATAATGGGCAATTACAGCAATTGATAGTTGGGTATTGTTCTCCTATTTTCCACTCAGGTGGGCTATTGTTTATTTTAACAACAAGGACTCAGTTGGGAAGTACCGATTATGCTTTCAGTGTAGTCGCTACAGTATCTTGACACTAGACAGCCAGGACAGTAAAAGACCATTTTCCATATGTCAGATGTCTTTTTTTTTTCCCCCTAATACTTATCTACAATATGTCCTAATTCATCATTTGATTTGCCGTTACTTTTGATGGTTTACTTTTCTTCTTCACCAGGCCATCTCCAGTGAAGCTAATGAGCTGCTTCCAGTCTACAATAAAACTTGTCAGAGGCAGTATTCCACACCTATTCAGACCCACGACTGGTCTTCACAGGTGCATTCAGCAATGTTCATAAGACCTTTCAGCACAAATGTTCTCCAGAGACTGCAACAGGGGCACAACTTCTCAACAAGCAGTAAATGCACGGCCTCTAAGTGACTCTGATGGCAGATTGGAAAATAGAAGTTTGACTTGAAGTGTAGTTGGTAATAATGTGAGCTGAGCTGTTCTGTTCGTAGTTTGTATGTTTACTGAGGCTCAATACAGATATGTATTTTTATTCTGAATTATATGTCTGATAGAGTGCAAGTTAGATTATAAATTTTTTATTATAACAGGAGTTCTTGGATATCCTGTTGATGTAGAGCTTATAAGTTGCGGCATATTAGATGTGTTTTTCATGATATAGTTTTGTTTTATCATTGAAGCTTTAGTTTCTATATACAGTTTATGTATAAAAAGGTAATCTTTCTAACCATCCGTTTCAACATTTTAAGACATAATGCTGGTTAGGTATTTTAAAGATAATAGGTGTTGTTGACATACCTTTTAAAGATTATTTGCACAAGTGGAAATATATTATCTTAGGCACTTGATTAATCAAGTATCCTGTGTACATATTGCCAACTAGACAAATATCTATTTTATTTCTTTTATGCATAATTTTAGGCGTAATTGAAATCCAGATGACATACATGTTTCACAGGAAGTAGCAGCTTTGCTGGAAGTTAATGCATGTGTGTGAAAAGGAGGTGTGATGATTGCTGGTTACTCTGGACAGTGCTTACATCCATAACCCCCAGTGCTTCCCTTCACCTTTTCAATCCAGTTTCTGTATGGGTACCTGGCAACTGAACTAGGGTGTAAATGGGGGGGTTGTAATAAGGTTAACTCTCAAACATAGAAGTATGCTACTATGCTTGAGAATTACATAAGAGTGGACCATCATACACTTCATCACTTTTAAGTGATAGAACTGTGTTATGTAAACTGCTGAATGTATCAGGCATCAGTCTATTGTTATAATATGACATTGGAAGTTTTTAAATTGCCTCCCTATGATAAGTACAAGTATTTTTGTGTAATAGATCTGAAAATATTATTATCAGACAATACTTATGAACCTGTTTCTTTCATTTATTTACTTGATAAAAGATTTTTGTGAGCATGATTTAATATTTGAATTATGTCATTTAAGGTTAAAGGCCTTTTCATTCACTCATTCATTCATTTAATTGCACTGTTTATATAAAGTGAAACTCACAAGCAAGACAAAGTAGTTTACATGATATTTTATAAATGTAGTACATAATACAATCATTGAACACAGACTGTTTGGAAAGATTACATCATTAGCATGTTTTTGTTATACATTTGATTTGTGAAAAAAGTGCTATGGAGCTTTATAAAGTGATTTGTTTTGTTACTAGAAATACATAATGATAGACTTTTTTCTTATTGAGTATTGCCAAAGCCTGATTTTATGATGCCTTTACTTCCAACAGAAAAAAGCCCATAGCAGGATCCATTTGATATTGTGCATTTACTTACAAGAGGTAAAGACAGGCATACAACTTAGCAATTTTAGTTCAGCTTTTGGAGGACAGTGAAATTATTTGATTTGATTTGATTTTTTTTTTGTAAATAGAAACCATTTTATTTATTGTACATATATTTGCCATGTTTGGATTGAAGATTTCATTTTTAGTTTTTTTAGAGGTGGAAATGAGGAGTGAGGACTTAAGTGCTGAGAGGTATTCAGCATAAACTGAATGTTTATTCCGTGTTATACTTTTCATGTTGCAGGAAATGTCAAACTTTCAGTGTTCAGAGCAGGTTCCTGTGTGGACAAGTAACCAATGCAAGTTCTAGTTACTTATTTATTAAATATTTTATTAATTTCTATAAGGCACAACTTTCTAGCAGATAACTATTTTTGTATTTGCTGCATCAGTATGAGTGATTTACATTTTCATTTTTGCCTAGTCATTTTCAGTTTTTAGGTATAGTTATATTCATTTTAGTACCTAGGTGTCTTGTACCATTATTTTTCTAGTGTTTGATCATGCAACTGTGATTTAATGAGAATGGATATATCTGTAGATATTTAGTTTATTCCCAATGTCTATATTTTGCAGCTCCTGTCATATCCTGGTATCAAATAGCTTAGCACCATCTAAACAAAGACATTGATACTGTGCTTGCAACTGTTTTGTGAGTGTGATAGTCACTTCTATAATGCTAGTAGTGGAACTTTCGAGCTCACTGTTGTATCATGAAGGTTATTAACTTTGAATGCTTCTCTCACCAGTGCTAGTACTATGTAGGCTTTGTCAGCAAGGTGTATTTCAGTTTTGGTCAGCAATATATACACAGCTTATATACTATACACCACATCCTAAGTACCATTCAGTTAGTGTTGTGATTAATAGTAATTGTATTATTTAGATGCTTTGTTTTCTCGGATTGCTGGAACTCTGAAAACAGATGTTTTGAATGTTTTGTCTTGCACATTGTGTGCCGTGGACATCAAACATCCAATCTCATAAAACAGAATAAAAGTGAAGTAGGACAGTTATTTTAGCCCAAAGTCTTTAGGAAATTTTGTGTTCACTGTAGTATTGTTTTGTGAAATGTCTGCACATAGATGGCTCAGCAAATGCTTAGCTACAAATGAGTCATTTATTAGACCATGTGACCTCATCTGATTTCATCCTTCCTTGAGTTTTTTTTACTAATGCTATCAATATCGAAGCTATTTTTATTACAGATACTATAATTATAATAGCATTATTAACTTAACTAACAACAAAATTAGATACTAGAAAATATTTTCAAAAATCGGGGAAAAGGGTAAACAGGTGAGACAGGTAGTACTCATAATTGACTCCTTAGTGACTTAGTATTTGTGAAGACCTGTGTGTAAAAGTTAATAAATAAAACTCACAGTGGGCATTGCATGTACGTACATGCCATCCCCAGCGGCTTTGGGTTGAGAAGTACATATCAGTTTGTAAATACGTCTGTTGAAGGGAAAGGAAGGGAATAATGGCAGTTGCAAAACTGAATAAGAGTAATATTGCTAAATTGCATGTCATAATACCTTTGAATCCTGTTAGAAGATGTGAAATATTATTCAGATATATAACAGTCCTTGACTCTTGACCGTTTACCCACTGATGATATAATTAACATCAGAACATGATGACCTCAGTATGACTCCTGAAGATGTGATTAACTGATAGCATGAATGATTTATTTTAGTAACTATCTCCTTTGGTTTAAATTGTTCTGATGTAAAGGTAATAAGTTGTGATTATAGAATATTATCTAAGCATGTATATTATGTTAGTGGTTAACTCAAGTAGTGAATCAGGAAAAGGAATACATTCGCACAAACAGGCTAACACAGAGGCACTTTTGTATACTATATATATTTTTTGCACTAGCATTGCACACTTCTCCTTTCACTCGTGAAAACACAAATGGTAGCTCTTCCACTCGCTTATTCTGCTAGTTACATTTTTTCTTGATTATATCTTTTTTCCCCAATTTTCCCTTTTCAGTTTCCAGTAACACTATGTGCGTGTGTGTGTAACATATATATATTTATGTTAACAAATGTAGAGAAGGTATGAATGAGAATGAATATCTTCATTATACAAGGGATGTATTTGACCGGTTTTGATTATATCTTCGAAACTGGTTAAATACATCTCTTGTATTGTGAAGATATTCTCATTCATACCTTTTCTATATATATATATATATATATATATATATATATATATATATATATATATATATATATATATATATATATATATATATATATATATATATATATATGACACGCACACGCACACACACACACACACACGCAATTACATTTACAAATGTAATACACCTAAACGTACACATTCACACATATATTTATGCAATATAAACACATATATGATGCTTGATTGGCTAATGATAAGGGGCTTCCTATAAAGATTTCCTTGCAATTGAACTGCTGAGTGATAACCAGGAGTGACATGCCACTTTGGGAGTGGCAAAATGGGAAGTTCATCCATCTACTGACTGAAGTTTTTCACCCCAGATGCTCACATGTAAGGCTTGATATACTCATTATACAGATTTCCATGCATTCAAGTGTGGAAGTGATGAAAAAAAGTATTTTTTGTGTATTTTTGTAAATTTTGTATGATCGTAAAAGTTCATGTGCTTGCAACAAGTCCTTGAAAGTTAAATAATAAAATGAGAGATTTATATCACATCATGTGGTAATATCTGTATTAAATGTACAATGTTTATACAGTAGTATAAAATAGAAATGTGTCAAAATATATACTATATATGATCCAATAATTGATGTTTTATTCCCTTTCCAAAAATCTTCTGCTCCAAAACATTTTCCTGGTAATATGTAAACTGATGTGATACAAAAGAACCTGTTGAAAGTATGCACAATTGCCTTTGTTTTTAAAGTAAATTCTATCTTCACCCTATCCTCTGCTGAGTCCTATAATGCTCCTTTTTCTTCCTCTGAACTCAGTGCTACCCTACAATTGTGCCGCAACACTCATGAAGGCCCTGACGGTATTCACTACTGTATGCTTCGGCAACTCCCACCTTCCTCCTTCTCCTTCCTATTAACAATTCACAACCACATATGGACATCAGGAAATTTTCCTTCTCATTAGCGAGAAGCTCTTATCCTCCCCTTCCTGAAACCCAATAAATCAGGTACCCTCCTTCAAGACTATCGCTTCATCTCACTAACTAGCTGCTTAAAGAAAAAGCTCGCTGCCGTCTCCGAATCGTACAAACTATCCCATATATCCTGGGGCTCAGATCGCAAAACTCTCCTTCATTTTCATGTTACCTTGATCCTCTCTACATTCGATTATGGATGCCATATCTACTCCTCTGCCTCAACATCTCTCCTTGCCCATCTTGATACAATCCATCACTGTGGTCTTTGCTCAGCCCTAGGTGCCTTCTGCTCCTCTCCAGTTGAGAGCCTGTACACTGAATCAGGCATGCCATCTCTCTCTCGACACCGTGCCCTTCTCTCTCACCAATGTTATATTCGATTCCACCAACTTCCCCTCACTAAACTAACTATCCCACGATCCCTACTTCCTACCTTTGCTTCTCCACAGTTGGAGAATGGATGCATAGATACCGTCCTCTCCCATTCCCCTTTTTTCCATCTCTGACCTCTCCCATTCTCTGTCCATTCTGTCCATCCATGGCTTATACCTTACCCCTATATTTGCTCCTCTGTTTCCCCTGACCCACCAAAATCAAATATGCCTCCTGCTGTCCTTCTCACCCATTTCCTTGACCATGTCTCCACTCATTTATTTTGCTTTTTAACCATTAACCCATCCAAGGTGTTTCTACATATCCTTCAGTGTCTCTTCCTCATCCCCCTCCCTCTCCCAGTCAAAATTCTTTTGTCATTCTAAATCCAGACACCCCAATCTCCACTTTCCCAGACACTTCAATCACTACTTCCTCCTCGCACAGGACAAGCTAAATGCTCTACACATCATCTGCCCCATCCTCTCCTCCATCAACCTCTTCCTCCATCCCTCAGATACCTGTAAAAATAAAAAAATGATTCTCAGACCTCCCCAACCAGCTCACCTTCAGAAACGCTCGAAGAAATTCAAATCTATCTAATCATAACCCAAGATAACGTGTCTACACCTCACCCATCCTCCAATCTTTCTGGCTCCCATTCCCTCTTCACTCAAAGTAACTGCCAACATCCATCCTTGTCTTACTCATGTTCCCCTACACCCCTTCCTCCATCTCCCTCCCAACACATCCCATTCAACCTTGCTACAGCTACATCATCCCCCCTTCCTTCTCCATTATCCCTCCCACTTCCCCTTGGATACCCATGTGACCCTTTGCCACAACAGCCCCCTTCCCTATATTCTCTCCCTCCCAACATTCTTCCTGAGACTGTGATCTAATGGCCCATAAACCCTTCTCATTTGCTAATCGTACATTACCCTACGGACATCTTTACAGAATCCCACACTTCTTCCTTTGACAACTTTGATCTAGTTACCCTTGTAAATTCCTACCTCCCTGAACTGCTACACGGCTTCTGGCATAAAGCCCATTAATCATCAACTAATCCCCCTCTACCCTTTTCACTATTACTTCTTTGTATAGTGCT